CTCCAGTGGGCTTGGGGATTTCCAGCATCCTGCAATATGTATCCGTGCAGAGGAAATTAAAATGTGGATGGATCAGCAAGATACAGTCAAATCCTCTACAGTAATTTGGAGAAGACTAAACTCTGGTGCTAGTGGAGCATATTCCAAGCTGCCTAATAGAGAGCTGATGATCTCTGTAACAGTCTTTTTGTAAGTTTTATTCTTGCCTACAAGGGATTTTTTTCAAAGGGGATATGTAATACCTAAACTAGTATTTTTAAAGGTATATGCTCTGAACATGGAAAAGTAAGACCCTTTGCAGAGCAGTCGCTTTCAGTGATCAGCTAGTACCCAATAAAAGAATACGCTCCAGTATCTTACAATCTAGCTGGAATTTCTTTCTAACCACCAATACCAGTCAATTTTATATAGTTCGTAGCTATTATAGGACATATCGACTCTTAGCAATATTGGAATGCTTTGCTCTTTTCGCAATAGTACAACACACATTTCCTTTAGCAGCATTACCACTTCTAGCTGAAATCCAAAGTGGTGTGCCTACACGAAGGCTGTAGAAGCGCAGTGCTGGGGTACCTCTAACTCCACGTACCTGAAGAGGCCACGCTGGGGTCCAGCAACGGAGACCTCACCATCTCCAAAAAAAAAATGTTTCCACACATAAAACTGGGAGGAATTCATGTCAAGATAGGTAATTTGGGTACCTTGACTTGTGCAGTGCAGTCTGCTTGGGTTTATCTCTGCCAGGTGTCTTAGAAACAGAAGAACTGATAAGGAACTGCTCCTCTGCTTTCTCTCCTTCCTCCATTTATAGGCTCAGCAAATCCTTGAGCACATCCTTAATCTATTTTTATAAAAGGAAGCAAGTATGTGTTCAGGAGGACTTAAACACACCTCGGTGCCCATTGGATCAGGGCCCTGCAGCGCTGTTCCCGCAGGATCCCACTCCTGTTTCCATGGGTTTGCATGCACCGAGCATTAAGGAGCCCAAATTCTGATGAGGGATTTCAATGTTATTTATTATCTGTGTTACAGTTGCAACTGGGAACACGGGGAGTGACTCGTTCCAGTTTTAGCGACAACTGAATTTACGCCCTGCGTAGAGCCAGCCGATGTAGATATTCCCAAGCCCAGGCTTTTTATAGCAAGCAGAAGCACCCACTCCACCCCCTCAAAAGCCTTTTCTAACCTCCAAAGCCTGCTCACAGCCTTGTGCTCTTCAGAATGAGCACATCTCCAAGCTGAAGATCTCCGTCATGGTTTAGCCCTCGCTAAATCTGATGTGGAGGCAGCCCTTTTTCAATTTGGCTCATCCTAGTTTGAAGTTTGGCACAATTTTTACAAGATCAGCCCAGAGGAAGGTGCGTCTGTCCCCAGGATGCTCAAGGAGTTTGCCCCAATGTCAATGGGAAGAGTGCTCATACACTGAAGGGGAAGAAACGTTAAAGGATTAAGATCTCTCCTCTTGGTTATTAGAGCATGAAACGACCTCCAAAAGCCCTGTTAAATTCTACATCTGAGCCAGGAGAGTCCTTGTTGAAGCAGCGATGAGATCCCCATGAGTTTCTCAACCGTAGAAGGTTCCCACCAGCACGTTGGCAGCGGGAGAGTTCAGTTTATGTTAGCAGTTACTGTTAACCACCAATTTCACCTTCTCCCACCTATTTCTGCCTCCTTCCCTCTCTCAGGAAGTAAGTCAACACAGTTGCAGGGATGCAGCGCGGTGTCCAGAGCTCTTACAGGTTCAACACCAGTTCCTTGGGGTACGAAGTACGTCTTTGTCCTGGAAACTGCCAGCTCAGATTTTGCTGCTCAACAAATGCTGGTGCTGCAGTGGGGACTTCTTTGTTTATTTAATAGCAGGAACCCAGGACTACGTAATGGAACTGAGCCGCACACGAGGGACGAGTTAATACAGCAACAATAGCACAAAACAGTTCTATTTTTTATTCTTTTACTACTATCACTGAATGAGGCTGCTTCTCTTAACTCTTACTTCATTTATTACTGGCTGCCATGAAGGATCATTTATAAAGGAGGGCTGCGAAGAAAAAGACAGGGGAGGGTTCACGGCGATTTGCGAAACGCACCCCATGTAAAGGCAACAGCTGTTAACAGAAACACGAACTGGCCTACGTATTGCAACCCCAAAGGATCCAGTTCTAAAAACTGAATTTAAAAAAACCTGGCTTGGTCAGTGGGCTGAGCGGGAAGATGGTAAAAAACCCACACTACGTCTGCTTCCTCTTCACTGCGCGTCATGTTCACCAAGGGACATGTTCAAGATGAATTCAAGTGCCTTCAAAGAAAACATCTGTGATCCAAGATGACATTTCTGCTCACCATCCATCCCTCCACGCTGCTGCCACTTTTAGCAACATGCACTCACACAGTTGGCCTGCGTTGACGGAGAAGACATAACCCAGTGACAAGAAAACTAGCATTTGCTAAGCACATCTACACTAGCTCCAACCGCTCGTGAGAAGGCCCAGGTATAATTTTCTATATAAATCCAACAAAGCTGCTGAGCTAAACTGATACTGGAAGTCCTGAGTCAGCCCCCTACAGCAGGACAGGAAAAACATCTGAAGAAAAAGGTTCCAGTTCTCACCCTGCCTCAGAAACAAGGCTCAAACATCCTTTGGTTGTGAGAGTCTCTGATCTTCAAGAGGTATTTGCTGGCCTGGGAATAGGCTTCACACATCACCTACCTGCCAAATCCAAGCTGGGAGAGAGGGGGGGTGGACACAGGCAAAGAAGTTAAATAAATAAATAAACCATACTATACGACAGAAAGACACCTAGGAAGGATACAAAGACAGACTGGATATACTTGCTTCATGCAGTTAAATAACGAGTCAATTTTGGTGCAAGCAAGAGATCAACCACCAACACGACAAGTGCCTCCACAAAGCCTCTTCCCTGTGCCAAAGGCTCCAGCCATCGGCTTTGCTGGCTCTGCTCCCAAAGCAGGAGCAAACCCCAGTCCGAGAGAGACCAACACAGTCACCGGTGCAAAACACAGAGACTTTAATGAAAACCACAGTCTGGGAGGAGGTGGGGGAATGCTGCTTCAGACAGCGAGCAGCCCTGGGTGCTGCTACGTGCGTGGACCCACCGGGAGAGGAGCAGAGCCCCGAGACCCAGTGACGGACACCGGCGGGAGCCAGAAGAAGGCAAGCAGCTGACTGCCACACGATGGGGCACATCCCAGGCAGGCTGACAAGACTCAAACTAAGAATTAGCTGCTTGAAGTCCAAAAATCCCTAGCAGGACAGATGTGCAGACTCAGGCACGCAAGAAACAGAGCTCTAGGTGAGCTTCTTCCCACCTCCTCGGCAGGTCCCAAGCCCAGGGACACTGTCCCCAGGGAGCAGTGGCTGCAGCTGCAGGGGAAGGAAGCACCTCCCCACCCTTTTTTGGTGCTGTATTTCACATTCTTGGTGTCCCTTCCATGCATGGATACTGACGTTTCCACCCATCCTTTTGCATGGAAGCCCCATTTCCATAAGATGACCAGGAGAGATGTGTTCCCAACCCTTGGGCAATTTTGGGAAACCACGGGCTTTAGCTCAGCCATTGCCGGCCAGATGCTGCACAGCCATTCGAAGCATGGTGATGCTTGCCAAAAGCCACACAGCAACACGAGGAGGCACAGGTGGAGACACCTGGGTTTTCCGCTCCAGGCACTGGCTGCTAAACTGCTCCACCAGAGATGAATGCATCAAGTCCCAGCAAGCACACAGGTCTTCAGCACCACTCCAGAAGCAGATCCATTTGGAAAGCCAAGACAAAACACACATCCCATTTAGGAATAAAACAAGACTTAACTCCAGTCTTCCATTTTCATTTAAAATGCAAGTTTATACAGTTGTTTCAGGCAGGTGAAAAGATCCTTGCCCTGTCCTGCCCAGGGCTGAGCCAGGAGCAGACAGGACAGTAGCAGTGCTAGAAAGCTCTGCTTCAGCTCTGCGGACACCTGCGTTTCACTGCCTCTTTAATTTAGACCCTTTTCTTGCTCTCCCTCCCCTGAGTGCCTGCGAGAACCTTTACAAGAAGGAGCAAGTAGTTCTGGCAAAAAGAAAACTGTGTGGGGAGGAAAAACAAAAAAAAAAAATCACAAGCAGGCTTCTTCCCCCCCACCCCCCTCAAAAGTAAAGCAGTGCAGCAGCAAAAGCCGAGCAGGCTGGCTGGGGGCAGCCCCACCACCTGCTCCGTGCTCTGCAGGAGTGCCAGAGAAAGGATCTCTGCTGCCCCCGACCCTCAGCAAACACCAGATCAGAACCCTGTCCCCCCGACACCCCGCCTGGGAACCTCAAGAAAAAAGATCCTCTCTCCAGCTGCAAAGTTGTGGACTACCTTGGTCAAGACCTGTGGACATGACAGCTCATCTCAAACCCAGCACCAGCCGTTCCTGCCCTCCTAGTGATGCTGCTGGTATGATCCGGACCACATCCCCATTCATTCACCTGCCTTGGAGACACCACTGCTGGTAGCACTGGACGTGCGGTCCCCCTGCCCGAGGTCCAGCACAGCAACACCAGCAGGGAAGGACAAA